ATTCAAGAAAAGAAGCCGGACAGCCAAAAGATTGAAGCTTGTTAAGTAAAAGACAGCGGGGCACCGAGTCGAAAGCGGAGTAGTCAAGAAATGCACAATGCATATATTTAGCTTTCTCGTTAAGGGACTTACAGATGAAATGAACTAGGGAAGAAACGGCATCTAATGTTGAGCGGTTATGTTTGTATGCAAACTGATAAGTGTCATCCGGGGTGGTAAGAGATAACTGAAGACGGTGCAGAACTGATCGCCCCATCAATTTCAAACCAGTGGAGGTGAGAGCAATTGGTCTAAAACGCTTCGCTATTGGGACCTTTGACGTTCCTTTGGGGATGGGAGTAATTCTCACTGGGTGCCAGCAGTCCGGAATAGTTCGGTGTTCGAGTGAAAGATTAGCTGTGTGCACCTTGCACACGACAGGATACGACCACAGAGCACTGAATGTGAGAAATGCTGATAATCTTCCGCACGGACACCTGGGGCAAAATTAAGATCTCTAAGCCAAAGTCTTCCTAACTCTGTAGAGCGCTGTAAGCAGAGAAACAGTTCGCCCCGTTCGGTCCTTATCAGTGTGATGATAATACGCGCCACACAAACATAATTGAACGAATATAGTATATTATCAAACAGTAGCACGAACACCACACCCAAAACGTACGTGTGAAGAAAACTTCAAGATAACTGGACAAGACCAAGGATACTAGTGAAAGCGTTAATGTCACCAAGTTCCCGTGCTGATGGTAAGAAAGTTCAAACAATGAGATCTGAGCTAACCGTTGGGATCCTTTATTTCGACGTTACCTGATTGGCAATTTACTTCGCATGAACGTAATACACGCAGTCTGTGCCTCAAATTCTTAACAGTGAATAAATAATAAACTATGTATAAAACAATCACGTGAGGAAAACATAACCTGCCAATGAAAAAGACATCCCAAAAATTGGAAAACCGTGTGGTAAGCACTATTTACGGATAAGGAATGCACTCACCGTGCAACAGGAATTCCAACACGTGAACGAGGCTGAAGTCAAATACTGTGGCCATGGAACACATAATTGAAGAGAACCGATAGGCTGCAAGGCATGTGAAGGCAACAGCCTACGGAGATTGAGAAAAAACAGATGTAGAAGGTAGATTAGTTCTGATGCATCATTGCACGCACAGCTTTTGATACTCGCCAGGAGACAGATGCAGGGTCACGGAATAGCAGGTGACACATATAATCGATCTCAAATGATGAGAACATGAAGAATGCAAGACTGTGTGACGATACACGTTTTATATTTCGAAGTAATTGAGTGTGATCATTAAAAATGACTTTGACGTGCACGGGAACACGCCATTTGATTGCCGTCAGATTATTCTAAAGCAGTATCACGTCCACCATAGACTCGCGCGCACCTTTTAACGCGTCCCAACGAACTGTGCTTTAATGTAACAACCAGACAAGGTTCTTTTGCGCACGTTTTCACAGCTCGGCAATTTGATCGCAAAACGTTTCATCGTCAGCCAAAGTGACATCTTTAGTGCTCGTGGTATAGCGGTGTACTGCGTCTGTTCACTCACTTACAAATGTTTTTCTTCGATTAATTTTCAGTTATTTGTTCTGAAGCCAGTTCATTGCTGAGTGGGGCTTCCCGGTCTGTTGGACAAGGTGTACAGTTCGAGAGACGTCGTAGCGATCAATTTAATATATATATCACGACGCAACTTAAGGTCTTAGAAAGTAACAAAACAGAACGGCTGTTTTATCTCTCGTTCAAATGCTATCCTATTCATATCTGATATGGGTAACTTCGGTGGTAATAGGTCGGGTGTTCTCACAAAGTATACACAGCGTTGCTTTGCGTTCGTTGAAGAACAGTAGCATTTGACCCGCAAAATGAGCAGATAATCAACTCAACAATCCACATGCAGACTTCGCGAAAGAAAAATGGTTCAAAGTAACACTCAGATGCACCAGTGATTCAGACGAGGATTAAATAGCAGGATGCGGCAAGCTAAAAAGTCAATCCGAGTAACTACACCTGTCAAATAAAAACAATGGTCTAAGTGATAATCTCACACCAATATAGACCTAGAACGCATTCGATAAAGGCTACTCAGATACCACAGCTTTACAATCTGAGTTCCCTCACAAACAGGCGCGGAATGTGTCCAGTAAGCGGAATAACTTGTATCCACTTGTCAGCTTTTATATAGAGAAGGAAAACTGACTCACCAACTGAGCTGCGTCGAATGTCCATGGCAAATACAATACACCGGTGATATATTTTTCCCAGTGCGAAGAAACAAATGAGAAGATGAGCGACCATTGAATCCAGAATAGCCGTAACGGGGAACTGTTTGCACCACATAATGAGAACAAGCAGGCCGGCAGAAAAAAGCAAACCCAAGAATCACAGCCATGATCAAATAATTCCCCCAAAGGCGAGGACGATTTTGTGCGTCGGGCTTGTTTTCCATCCGTTCCATCTGAATTGTGCAGTAAAGTAAAAGGAAAAAATGAATGCCAGCGACAAACTGCTAGCGGTGCTGGATCGGGTTAAACTGGTGTCGCTGCCATGTTTTGAACTTTATCTTACTGTTACCAGCAAATTTAGCGGTTGATAACCTCTCTGAATGGTCGGGGCAGGCAGTTAACGAGATGCAAACTGTCAGACTGGGAACGGTATGCACATGACACTGTTGAACGTGAGAGCACTAATGCATACCGGAAGTTAGTGTTACCATGAGCTCTTCTCAAGACCATACAGTAGACGCTCCCTGTCTATCCGAGGTGCGTATATCAAACTTGGGCTGAAGATAAACTGAAGTGCCTTAAGAAGATGCGGTCTAACAGATATAGTACAGCGATCCGACAGACAGTTGTCGCCATCATGAGGTAGTGAAAGCTGTGAATAATAAAGGTAGTAAGGCATTGACTCTAAGGAACCCAATCTTCCATACTTATATGCGTGTCAACTCTGGCAGCCGACAAAAGTCAAAGATGAATTTTGAAGACAAATACAAAACTCCCTAAACCCTGTCCTTAGGCAAAACACTATTGATCGCAGACGATTGAAATGCACCCACTGAACAATCAGATGACAAAAGATACTTGATAACAGTAAAAAGTATACTAAATTG